GTAGACACACATGCAGAAAATCTGATTTAAAGCACAGTACTGGCATCAATTCATCTTGCAAACTCAACAACAAAAAATTTGCAGCTATACACACACATCCCATCCTTCCACTGACCAAAGTCATCTTCCTGCGCAGTTCTCTTGTGTTAAAAATAAGGCTTGCACTGATCAGAACAGTGAGCATGTGACAGTTTAGTGCAAGGTAAGTTTGCAGAGAGCGATTTTTTTCTTTTTTCTTTTTTTTCCCTTCTGCCTCTCTCATGACATACAAGAAAAAAAGGGGGCAGAAGCCTCAATAGGGATGTTGTTGCTCTGTAGCACTCTACTGCACTACTTGACATAACCATTGCTATAACACACACCATCTTTCCCCTCCATCAATCGTCACATCGGCAATAGCTCTCTTGCAAGTACCCACTTGTACATTATTTGTCAGGATCATGGAGAAAACAGTGAAGAAGAATTTTCTAGCCTACTGTTGCTTTTGCTAACCGCGAAGATGAGGTTCTGATTCACACGAAGAAGAAGAAGAGGAGAAAAGTAGGGCTGTGGTCCACAGCGCTGCCATGAACCAACTAACTCCCCCATTCTTTGATTCACAACGTGGCCTGGAGAGCTGGCAAAATAAAGATGAGTTAATAAATCTCTTGCAGAATTGTGATTGTGATAAGCACGAATGGATCGTGACAATGGACCCCGGATGATGCAAGTGGGGGTTGAATCCCCCGTTTTTAGGGTTTCGGTTATTATCAGTCTTTCAGTGAGGGGAAAACTGTCGCCTTTCCTTTGCTTCGTTACTACTGCCACCACCACCTTCTGTTTTTGTTGGTTATGTTTTATTTTTATATTTTCCTTTTCATTTCATTTCTAGTTGTTTGTTTAGCTTTTTTGTCTTTACTCCAAACATGTTTTGTCTATTATTTTTGTCTATTATTGAGAAGACTTTGATGGCCGCCTGTCATGTCACCACCTGCTGCTGACTGACTGCTGATCCCCGTTTTGCAGGCTGTTATCCGATTTGACCGCAATTGTGTAGACAGTGCAACAATTGAGAGGAATCTATTGCATTGAGCAACTGGGTGCCAATCATTTCATATATATATATATATATATATATATGTGTACGTGTGTGTATGTGTATACAACATACACATGCAATGTACGTTGGGTTCAGACAATGGTTTTTAGAAGTTGGAGGTCATCAAGTTTGGTATTTCAAAAATTTGCAAGAGAATCAATATAATGTTTATGTTACAAGGTGGTTTGAAGAGTTTATCATGGTTTTTGCCTAATTGTGGAGAGAAATGTTGCATCATTTATTAGTAAGTGAGTTTTATAGATAATGTGTTGTGTAAACCTTAGTGATGGTGATTTTTGAAGGAGTGGGACTTTGGTGACTTTTAACATTGGTAGTCACCATGGACAATACCAAAGTAGTTGATTTTCTACTCTTTGGACTAATTGATTTTTTGTTTTAAATGTATATATAAGTTTTTAAGAATTAAACATTGAGATAATATTGTGTTAATGTTGATTACTATAGTTGTCAACATCATTGTGTCTAAAGGTTTTGATAATTCCTATAGTAATCATTACATCAAGTTTAAAATGGCCAACTTATGTTAATATTCTATTTATTTTTAGATGTAATTTACATAATTTGTTGTAAAGCTTGTGTAATATAAAAAAGGATGATAAGATTCATAATACAAACACCATAAATATTTTTTGGAAAAATCACAAATTATATATGCATATAAATTTTTATTTTTTATTTTAAAAAATTTTAATTAGTATTTTAATGTTAGATATAATTTTTCTAAATTTCAAGTCAATACATAGTTTTTACATTATATTGTTACTAAGTTGACTTTGTTATACATATATATATATATATATATATATATAAACTCAAATCATTTTTTATTGGTTGATAGATTTTGACTGAAAAGAATTAATTGATTAAGCTTGTCTTTGGTAGTAGAGTAGTAGAGTTAAACCTCATTAAATATGTTGTAATAAAATAATTTTATATGTAACTTTTTAAAACTATTATTATCTCTTTATAAAACTAATATTATTGATTTCTGTTGGAATTGAATTTTTTTTAGTAGTTAGAGCTAATCTAAAAAATAACTAAACAACTTCAATAAAAAAATCTCACCTAAGTTGCATTTTAGTATATGACTTTAATTAATTTTTTACAAAATTGTATGTAATGTAGAAAAACTAATTTTTTAAAATAATAAGTAAAAAAAATATTTTATGTATGTGTATATATATATTTATATATTATTTTTAAAAAATCATATGAGGTTGACTTGTATAATGTACAGAAATAACTTGAAATTTAAGTTTATCTGTAATATTTAGTTGAAACTAACTGAAAGTACTTTAAGCAATCATCGTTGCAACTAAACTTGTATTTAATAGATTGTTTGTTTCTTTTTGTTGTATAAATGAATGATATAGAATCAGATGTTAATTTATTTCTATTTAAATATTCAGTTTAATTATATCTAAAATACTATCCACATTAAAAATATCTATCTTTAGGTTTAATTTTTGAAGTATTAAAATGATTAATCTTTTCTTACATATATTATAATTTTTAATTATTTTGGCCAAATATTAAAATATAGACCAATTTTTGCTATTTATAAATAATAATAAAATTTATCTTAATTTTTTTATAATGGTATCATAAATCTTCAAAATATGTTTTTTAGTATTGATTAATAGTTTTCTTGATTTCTAAATTTTAAAAAAATATACTTAATTATTATTATAATTGATAAACAGAATCGATTTTAAAAAAGATCTATATTATTTATAAATAAGTGACATATTTATAACTTAATGTAGACAATCAATTATCTTAATTCTAAAATTTGTTAAGAAAGGCTTGATTTTTTTTTATTTTTTTTTTTTATTTTTTATTTTGACTAAAGTATTGATTTTTACAAAAAAATTTGGAATAAAAATGTGTTTTTATTTATGTATGATAGGCATATGCTAATTTATTTTTAAAAAAACTACACATACATATTTTTTATTCATAAATTTTTGATTATTTTAAAATATTACCTAATCTTTGATTAGTTTAACAGATAATATGGTTTGTTATTAATAGTTTTTATTATTTTGGTTAAATGTAGCTGATTATAATTCTTTTTTTGCAATCATGTAAAAAAATATAATTTTTATTTTATCAATTCTTCACAATAAATATTCATGCTTGTAGTTTTTTTCAATATTTTATTTATATTTTATTTAGATTAATTTATATTAATTTGTATAAACTAAAAAATTCTGAATTAATAAAAGAACTCTTAAATTTGACTTTGCTTGTTTTATTGATAGTAGCCAAATAAAATAATTTATAAATCCACAAAAACTTTCTTTTATATATCATTGCTAGAAAAAGATGTGATAATATTACTCAAACATAATATGACATTACCCAAACAAGATATAACAACATATGATAACAAGACGGTAATAAAATACAAAAACTTTTAGTAACAAGAAACGACAACAATACTCAAACACATAAGGCCAAGACAGATGAAAAAGAAAACACTCCACAATCTCATAAGATGAAAGGGATAGAATTTATTTCCACCCTCCAAAAACAACAACATTGAAAAAAAAGTGCAACACCCTCATCCTCATCCGCTTTCTTTGCACTACACTTAGCAATGCAGTGAAAGGGGGGGGGGTGTTAATGACAAAAAGCAACTAGAATTCTAACAAACTGACAACATACAGACCCCATGTTATAAAAAATACGGCAACATCAGGAGGAGGATGAAGAAGAAGAAGAAGTAGAAGAGACAAACATTACATTTGTTTTGTCTATAAATAAACAAAACAAATAAATATATGAATATATATAAACATACATACATACATACATACATATAAGTATACGCGGCGGACGCACGTCAAGCAATGGGAGATGGCGATGATGATGAAGATGTGCGTGCGACCTGCGGCGACGATGGTGATCAGATGAGATATCCAAGTGGTGATTGTGGTGGTGGTGTGCAATCAGCGCTATCGTCAGCAGTAGGTGGCTCAGCAGCTGGCTTTGTCTTGTAGGACCCGGACCTTATTAACAGCCTGATCTGATTCTTCTCTACTCACAGCCTGATCTGCGGGGGGGATGTGGGGAGAGAAGGAGGAGAAGAAAAAGTGGAGCTTGCAGTGGTCGACAGCAGACCTGGACTGGCTGCCTTTACTGCAACGGATTCATTAGAGACACCATTAGTAGTAAGAGGCGGTGTAGATGCTTCGTGTCTGGCGTCGGATGAGGAGGACGGGTTTAGCCGTGGTTTATGGTCTCAGGTGTGGTAGTAGTAGTATTGCACACGGTGCCAGGGTAGGTGGGTGGTGCAGTAGCTGATAGTTATCAAGGCTGAGTGAAGTCTAGTATTTGCTGAGGACTCAACCAGTCTTCAAAGCGGGGTGAGAGAGGTGTCTGCGACGGAAGCTGCGCGAGTCTCGTTGGGTTGTCGAGTGAGGTACAGCGAGGTGCATGAAGAGGAGACTCGGGGTTGGGTGAGGTTGAGGGGGACGGAACGAGGAGAGTTCGAGGAGGAGGAGCTTGGGTGAGGTGGAGTGGGGCACAAGTTTTGGGGGGCGGCTTGCGAAGGTGTGGTTGTTTGCAACACGTGTAGTGGCTGGCTTGTTCATGACCACTCCTGATTGGGTTTCGATGCGTTCCGCTCGGTGCCCTGCGCTTCTCGATTTCATGCAAGTGTTGCATGATATGGCTCTGAAAACAACTTCGTGAATGTGTACACTGAGCTTGTATTGGGGAGTCCACCGTTCACGAATCTTGCATTCTGAAGACATGTACGAGGGTCGTTGTTTATAGACTTTTCTGTCATTTCTGCTGGATTGTTGAGGAAGTGGATTTTGACATCGCTGGTATCCACCATTCAGATTTGATATCGTTGCATTCGTGCGCACAGTGTCTCTGGAGTTACTGTGTACATCGGAGGAGTATTGGTTACAGTGCATTATAATGTGTTTAACAATCCGATTGGCTGGTCAGTACAGTCTCGATTCTCTGACCAGTGAGTCGAGCTCGGAAGTTGCCAGTATAAGTACTGGTTGCCGAATTTCCACCAGCAGCTGGCCCGTCACCCGTGTCTCCCACAAATTCTTAGCAGTTCTGCACGGCCAAGACGTGCACGTTGTTGCACTCGCTCTCTCATGCGAGTTCCTTTACGCAGGCTCGAACAAAGGCGACATTCGAGCATGGGACCACCCGAACATGCAAGAGGCTCCGAAATTCGGATGTAGTGAAGCAGCGGTGAAATGCTTAATTGTAGTCGGTAGCAAAATCATTAGCGCGCATCAGGACCACAAGATTAGAGTGTGGCGTCGATCGAAGAGCAACCCCAAAGAGCATAAGCTATTGACCACGTTACCGTCAATGAAAGACTACATTACAAACTTCCTGCCTCCGAAAAACTATGTTAAGGTGTTTTCTTGTGAAAAACATTAATAAAATCTTGTAATTCTTCTCGTCTCTAATCCTTTTTTTTTTTTTTTCTTTTTTTTTTTTCTTTTTTCCTTCATTATTTTGTCTCTCTTTCACTGTCATTTCTTCTTCTTCTCACTTAATTCGGTTTGTGAAGGTTCGGCGGCATCACAAGACACTCTGGATTAATCATCACGATTGCATTACATCTCTGGTGGTCGGCAATGGCGTACTGTACTCCGGCTCCTGGGATAAATCCGTGAAGGTATGGCGCCTCGAAGATTTTAAGTGCCTGGAGTCGCTCAATGTGCACATAGATGCGGTGAATGCACTTGCGGTGGACACACGAAATGACCTTCTCTACAGCGGCTCGGGCGATACCACCATTAAGTTGTTTCATAAGCAGGAGAGCGAGGGGAAGCAATGCCAGCATGTGCTGATCGCAACTTTGGAAGCAAAGTCGCCGGTGAACGCACTCGCGTTAAGTCCTGATGTGTCTGTTCTTTACTCAGGCCAGAGTGACAAAGCGGTCACCGTGTGGAAGATGCATGTCGGCGAAACCAGACAGTGGACCGCGGTGGGCACATTGCTAGGGCACCGGATGTCTGTTCTGTGTCTAAGCACCTTGACGAATATTGTTATCAGCGGATCGGCGGACAAGACTATCCGGGTGTGGAAAAGAAACAACAACGGCCATCATTCTTGTGTCTCCGTGATGGTTGGTCACACAGGCCCCGTGAAGTCCCTCTGTGCCATGCCGGACGCAGAATGGGGGGTTTTGGTGTACAGCGGAAGCTTGGATGGCGATATTCGCGTGTGGTGGGTTCCGGAAGACGATTCCGACAGTCTCTCCTCGGACGAGACCAACGCCCTGGACAGTCCTCTAGTCGTCAATTGGAGAGCTTCAACGCCAAACGCGCGAGACTTGCCAAGGCCCACTGTGCCGAGATAACCAGGTGGATCACACCCGGCACCAGTTCATAATCTTTCAAACTTATTCAAAGTCGGACAGACTCCACCATCTCCAGCTTTCCGACCATCGAGATTGAGCTAGCCCGGGGGTTGTCACTACAATTGTGAGCTATCCACAAAGCCACTGCCACGCAGGTTTCGATCGCGATCACATGTACAGATACGTTGCCAACTCCACCATCCAGATGTAACATCGTTCGCTCGAGTTGCCAAATCCAGAAACCCTGCAGCGTCTGTCTACGCCGAGATTCTAGAACAACCAATTCTTCTAACTTTTCTCAAGGCCACAGTCTTCTCTGGGGGAAGCTACCATTTATGGGAGAGATAAAGTGCTTTCACCGAACCCAGCATGACAAAGTAGCAATTGCATAAAACGACAGGAACAATACTATGATATGAGATACATGGAAAGTATTTAATAGTGGACTTCACTCATTTGGTTTATCTACAAAACTCGATTTAAGTATGTAGAATCCACGCAATTCTTTCAAACCATAGTGCTGTGTTCTTTGCCTGCCGACTCAACCTTGTAGACTAAGAGCTTTCCTGTCCATATTTTCTTTTTTTTTGCGGACATAAAGAAAAAGTAATTAAACGAATTCAAGAATTCCGACTGTTGTCAATCGTTGTGGCTATAATACACTACTCAGATAAGAAAATATATGCAGCAATAGTGGGTTTAATATCTCATTAGTTGGTGAACTTCTAATATCAAAAACTTGAAATAGAAAACATGTAAAGCGACAATTAGTCTCAAACTCTATTTCACCAGTGCATGGTACTCTTTCGCGATTGCAGCAAAAATTTACAGATACTAAATTATAAATGGCTCAATACCCAACACCGATCAGTCGCTTTGGCCGAGTGGTTAAGGCGTGTGCCTGCTAAGTACATGGGGTTTCCCCGCAAGAGTTCGAATCTCTTAGGCGACGGAAGCTGTTTAGTAGCGACTGTACATGCTTTTTCTATTTTCCTAGCTTCACCCCGTGCATGGGAGTGCAAAGTTGTCTGGACGCAAATAGAATGAACGGATGCCTTCATACCAACGTGTTAATCAGCCGTGCGGCACAAACTAAGCAGTCGACAGTTTTAAATTAAAAAAGCAGAAAAGCATGCCAAGGCATTCCAAAACCTTTGGTAAGGTCTAAAATCTGCACCAGTATTCTGGAAAAAGAGGTCCATGACTTGTCCTCGTTTGACCCAGACAGGAAGATGCAAGCTCAGCTGCAACATTCCGCAACCTCAAAAGACGAGCTCTGGATGTTAACACAGCGACAATCCTAAGCTTCATCAGATCTATCATACAGCAGTCACAAAGACTGCAAACCTGAAAGCTGGAAGCGTAAGAGTAGCTACACGTGGAAGGTCAAGTCAATTGCCCAGACTTCACCTCTCGTCGCTCACTGATAATATCAAAAACTTGGGCAAAACTGGGAGGTCCAAAGTGTGCTGATATCCAGTAGCCTACAAGCAGACTAACGATGGGAGTCGTTGTCTACTTGCCTCTTCATCCACGACTTCCAACGGTTCCATCCACGGCTTCCAACAATTTCTCTTCTGCAGCATCTAATTTCTCCTCTACTGAAGAACTGAAAGACGAGCCAGATTTCTGGGAGCCGGTAATGCGGGCGAGTGCTACAAAAGAAGAGCCACCAACCACATTGTTCAAAGCGCGAACTACCAACACACCAGTTTTGAACACTGATGGGGGTAGCTTGTCTACAAGGACAAACTCCAAGCCGTTCAAGGACTGATACCGAGAGTTGCTACTCAAGCCCATGTGAAGAGCCCAAGTCAAAGCGTTCAGAAGTGTTGGCGGGGCTTCGTTTTGGACAACAAAATTGGGATCCATCTTCTTCCTTATCATTATTAAGGTGTTAGAGATGACAGTACCCACAAGACCTGCAGCAAACCCAACCACTGCAAACTGTCCACCTTTGTATATAAAGGTACCCGCACGATCGAGTAACGAATAGTTTCCAGCCTCGAACATGTGACCAGCTGGACAGCTGGCGAAAATTCCTGGGAGACGGGTGGCTACTGCTCCAATAGCGCTTGTGGGGGCTAGCATATACATCAACGCGAAGTTCAGGATAGAGCCCACCACAAGTGTGCAAAAGACAAAGTCAAGCTCGTTCAGTCCAAAGTTGGGCCTGGTAGCCATGTCACCCAGCACACATGCTCCCACCCCAACAATCTGCTCCATCAACACCTTGAAGGGAAATTGGGGATCAGCGCGAATCCTGTCATTCCATCCTTCCCATAAACCACCGAAAATTCCACCAGGAGATCCGCTGTTACTCTCATCCTTCCCATGTGAGTCACCGCCACCACCACCGCCAGAGCCACCTCCTCCATTAAGCCCAGCCCCATTTCCGCCTCCTAGATTTGTATTCGGTTCATCGCCTCCAAAGGCTGGAGAAGAAGCCGAAGAAGATCGTAGAGGAGATACGTGAGATTTTCCTAAGCAAATAGGAGAGGGTTTGTAAGTAGAGTCATAAGCAAACTCGTTACCAAGGTCTTCCCTGGGCTTGGGCAGAAATCACAACCATTGCACAACAACGATTATGCAAGTGTATTCTCAGGCCCCTTGTCTAAAACAGCTACAACAAAAGAACTTCAGAATGAAATAAATTCCTCAGACGTGGCGAGGATGCATTTTCGAGAAAACTTACACGGCATTCTTAAGGGCCAGCACAGTGAGAATACCTGAAATACATGGGTTTTTTCCAAAGCCAAATATGGCTATGACCCTAGAAGCGCACGAGTCAGGTTGTCTCAAGGACACAGACGAATCCAGGGAAGGGAAGGAAGCCCGCGTGATGCCCTGCAGCGAAGGAAGCGCAATAAGGGCAGTCATGGCTAAAGCCATCACTCGAACTAGAGCAGTGGAAAAGAGCTTCAGAATTTCCTGAAACACAATCACAACCCAAATTAAAATTCAGGAATAGAGAGTCGTAGTAATACATAATGCAAAACCTGGCCGCTTCGTCCTGTTGCTGATTACCTGTAAAGACCTAATGTAGAGTTTCGTCCTAAAACGACCAAATCACTGTGGTACAATCCGCTCAAAACTGCTTTACACCTACTTCTATCGAATTTCAGTCTGCAAATAGGTGTAGATGAGCCGGTAAAGGGCCTGGGACGAAAATCTCCTATTCCTGATCCAAGACAAAGGGTGAGCAAACCGAGACGACAGTGTGTTCCACCACCAAAGGTATCGACAAAAAGAGAAAACCACATGGTTGGATGCGACACACCACTTCCAGAATGTAAATCAATCTCAACGACATTCCCCTAAATCTTTCTGAGCACAATTCCGAAAGACAAAGGAGCAAAACGGGCGACAGTAACAAAGATTTTTCTTTCGCAAAGATCGTCAAAATGAAAAGTCAATGTCACACCAGCGACACCTTACACCCACACCCTGAATGAGAAGAAAGAGAAAACTGAAATGCGACGTGATTTATCAGCTTCGATAAACATTCTGAAACATCGAAAGAAAAGCAAGAAAGCATAACAACCACTTCACACCCTCTCCTCAACCCTACTTGCGGAAAAAAAAACAAAACAAAACAAAACAAACAAACAAATCAAATGCAGACCTAAGCACCACCTTGCAACACCCCCGAAGTTAAACCCCCGATACTCACAACACTGAGCAATGTTTTACAGACTCGCCGCTCCCCGAACAACACCCACATCCAACCCCTGATTGTCCACAAAACCTCAAGAATGTAGAGCCCAAAGCAGTGCACCCCGAGAGTAAACCCAACCCGGGTACCTCAACGCTCCTCCTCGACGCCCCTCTACCACGCAATGCGCCGATTCAGTCCCAGAAAGACCTGCAGGGAGTAGCGGGAAACCACCCGACCACATGCGTCGCGGTGAAGGTCGTGGAGGCGCCTCGTGTCTTCAAGGATCGCAATTCCCACACAGCACAGTGCGCAGCCGAGCTCGCGTGTCGAAAGAAAGCGAGAGTGTGAGCCTATGACGAAGCCCCGTACGCCAAGTCAGCGTCCTGTCCCGAAGGTTGCTGCAGCAACAGCAGAAGCAGCAGCAGCACTTCGACCAACTCCCAGCTTCGCAGCGTTTCTAGTGTCGTCGTCGTCGTTTCGACGCAGCATACTGACAAATACTCAAAGCCTTTTCCATTTCGTTGAGATCATTAAATGTAGCCTGCGCTCTCCATAATATTTACTGTAGATTACAGTAATTACCATAGCTACAGTATTTAGAGTCTAGTGGAGAAGTATTGTTTATCCTCTTCTCTTTTCTCTACTTGTGTACTAGACACAACCAGATCAATAGTTTTGTGTGTGTGAAGCCCTCTCTCCTTAGAAACCCTCTTGTGTGTATGACTTACTACTACTCTTGTATGTGTGTATGACTTACTATTACTCTTGTGTCTTTCTAAACATTCTCAATATGTTATCAACACGACTCTCTTCTACACACTATCACAATTTTTTGCTCTAGTCTTTGACTCTTCAAACGTGTTGCTACCCTTTCTCAGTGTTTGCCTCATGATCTTGTTCTTCTTACTGGCCTCTCGCATACATTAGCTTGCTTAGAGCACTTGTTCCGCTCTCTGCCTCATGATCTTGTTCTTCTTACTGGCCCCTCACACATTAGCTTGCTTAGAGCACTTGTTCCACTCTCTGCCCTGCTTGCTTAGAATACTTGATCCAGTCCAACTCCACCCCAGTTTACTCCCTGCTGCATCCCGCCCCTGTTGTCGCCAAACCTGCCACTGCCGCCATTGCCACCCTGTCGCCGTTGACATTGCTGCCTACCATTGACCGCTGCCGCCACCGCCGCTGCTGTCCACCGCTGCCACCTTGTCGCCCTACTGCTACCGCCCTACAGCTGCTTGCTGCGCCATCTTATTGCTGTTCTGCTACCTTAATCTACATTCTTCTTAGAAAAAAAAAATTAAATATTTTTATTTTTTCAAGTTTAATTTTATCATTCTATTTGACTTTATATTTGAAGATACATTTTACTCAACTTTTCTACTTGATCTTGTATTTTCTTTACAGATTTATTTATAATGAGTGCTTCAACATCTTCAACTGCTTCTACTATGGTTCGAACTATTACTAGTACATCCCAACATTTTCAAGCTCTTTTATTTCCACCATTGATTATGGATGGAAATAATTATCTATTATGGCCAAAAATGGCAAAAGCAAATTTATTTGCAGAACAACTCTCAGTTGCCATTATGTTTGAAGAATCTTTTATAACAAGTATTTTTATATCTCCTGCTATTCGTAGGAAAGCACTTCTTCTCCTTCGTCGTCATCTTGTACCTGCATTACAACATCAATATTTGGAAATGGAAGATCCTGCAGAACTTTGGAAGAATCTTAAATCTAGGTTTGATCATCAAAAGACCATTTTTCTTCCACGTGGACATCATAATTGGACACATTTACGTGTCTTGGATTTTCCAAATTTAAATGCTTTCAATAGTAAAATGTATAGTATTGTCTCACAATTACGATTGTATAGACAAAGCATTTCTGAAGAAGAAATGATTGAGAAAACTCTCTCTACATTTCCTCCTGTATCTGTTGTGCTTGTACAACAATACATGAACATGAAATTTCAGAATCATTCTGATCTCATGTCCTATCTACTTCTTGTGGAGAAGCAAAATGAGCTACTCTTGCGCAATGCAAAAGCTCGTCCTATTGGAACTACAGTTCCAAAATTTCATGCACTTAATATTTCAAAGTCTAAGAAGAAATTATATAAACATGGGAAACGTGCTCATAAGTATCAAGGTAGTCATAGTCAAGACTATTTCTACCCATATGGAAAGAATAAACGTTCTACCATTAATTATAGTAGAAAATAAAAATTAGAGATGCGTTCTTGCCATAAGTGCGGAATGATTGGACATTTAGCACATGCATGTCGTATTTTAGAATATTTTATTAAAATATTCTAAAAAAATAAGAAATTACGAGTTAAGGCTTATGAAGTTCATACCATGGATGCGTCCATGGATTTAATTGGTGTTGATGACCTAGAGGCTTATATGAATGATAGAACCTCTAATAATGAATCAAATGATGTGCTCATTGATTTTGCAACAACACATACTATCTTGCAAGATAGATGATTTTTTATTGAAAAATCTTCAACTTGATAAACTAAAAATATGATGACCATGGCTGGAACAAATGCATTTTGTTTCCAAGAGGGCACAGCGATGGTAAAATTACATGAGGGTTCTATCATAAAATGTAAATATGCGATGTTTGTACCCTCAATACCTCAGATTCTGATCAGCTACCGAGATGTGCGTATTAATGGTTATCACCTCTTAACTGCCACTTTAAATAGAAAAGAGGTTTTGATTCTTGTGAAGAACCATAAAATTGTTGAAAAAGCTTTTGCTATAGAAAACAGTTTATACCAAATTGTGATTCTGCCTCCCATTATATTTAATTTTGCATCATCTATCTCAGAGAGTCATATTTCTCTTTGGCATAGACGATTGAGACATCCAAGATCCACATTATTTAGAAAAATCATTCCATGTATAACTGGGTACAATTTAAAGCCTGCAGATGTAGACTCTATAAAATTATGTCGTGCATGCGTGCAAGGTAAAATGATTACTCAGCCTTCATTTTGAAAACTTCCACAAGAATTACCACCAATGCTTGAAAGATTGCATGGTGATATTTGTAGTCCTATTAATCCAATATCAGGACCATTTCGTTATTTTTTGGTCGTTGTTGATGCATCAGATAAAGAATCACATGTTTCATTATTATCAACTCAAAACATGGTGTTTGCAAATCTTATATCTATGCTTAATTGCTTTCGGGCTTATTTTCCTAATTATCCTATCAAAAAATTGCATATGTATAATACAAAAGAATTTGCATCAAAGTCTTTTGAAGACTATTATATTGCAACAGGAATCGAGTTGACATATTGTGTTCCATATGAACATGTTCAAAATGGACTTACAAGGTTATTTATAAAGCTTATACAACTCATTACTCGGCCACTCCTCCTTCACGCAAATCTACCTGCATTTAAGTGGGGTCATGCAGTTTTACATGCTGCAGCATTAATATGCCTCTGTCCTTCTTCTCTTAAAATTGTTTCACCACATGAGTTCATTTCGGGGTCATGTTCCAAATGTATCTCACTTACGAGTATTTAGTTGCCGTGCTTGGATTACAATACCAGAACCTCAATGGCGTACCATTGGAGCTTATCGACAAGAAGACATATATGTTGGTTTTGATTCACTAAGCATTATTTGTATTGTTGATCTATCAACTGGCACATTATTATGTGCACGTTTGCAAAATTGCTATTTTGAAGAAATTGTATTCCCATCTCTTCAAGGAGGAGTATCCAATCATCAAAGAAATAAAGTACTCATATTTGAAGCACCAAAAACATTTACAATGAATTCCGATCCTAGAACATCTTTGACAAAAACTGAAATTGCTAAGATTTTGCATTTAAAACAACATGTAAATTTTCATATGATGATTCTCCAACTATCTTGTATGAAGATAATAGTGCTTGTATTGCATAGATGCAAGTTGGTTTCATTAAAGGCGACAGGACAAAGCATATTGATCCAAAGTATTTTAGTTATATTCATGACTTGATTACTAATCAAGCACTTATAATCAAGAAAATTGAATCTACAAATAACCTTGCTGATCTCTTCACCAAAGCTCTCCCATTAAGCAACCATCATCGACTTACTTATGGCATTGGTATGCGGTGACTTACTTTTCTTGAATAAGAAAGTTAATGAGCTCTTTAAATAATTAAAAAAAATGATGTTGTACTCTTTTTTCTTCATTTATGATTTTGTCTTTAAATAAAATAAGGTTTTCCTAGATAAGGTTTTAATGAGGCAACAATTGTTGATCTTGTAAGATCACAGAAAAGTATAGATCATAATTCTATACAAATTTTATATTATGTAAATATTATGATGAGCGAGGAGGAGTGTTGAGATCATTAAATGTAGCCAGCGCTCTCTATAATATTTACTGTAGACTACAGTAATTACCATAGCTATAGTATTTATAGCCTAGTGGAGAAGTATTGTTTATCATCTTCTCTTTTCTCTACTTGTATACGAGACACAACCAAATCAATAGTTTTGTATGTGAGAAGCTCTCTCTCCTTAAAAACCCTCTTGTGTGTATGACTTACTACTACTCTTGTGTGTATGTATGACTTACTATTACTCTTGTATCTTTCTAAACATTCTCAACACATTTTACTGCAATTGGGGTCGATCCTTTCGCTGAAAAATAGTGCGGCGAGGAGGATTCTTGTCAAGATCTTCATTTGCTACGACCATCACTGCTTTTTCCATCCACACCTCATTGCCTGTGCATTGTGCGGCATTTGCTTCCCAACTGACGGCAACGGCAATGGCGATGTGCCTTGAGAATGTGTTTGTTCTTGTCGAAGACTTTGTTTTGGATGAACGGTGTAGGGCATTCGTCATAGAAGTGTTTGCAGTTTGCGTTCTTATGTTTGTAAGATTATAGATATTTTTATCTAAAATTAGTATCTGACCAAGTTCATTGTTGATTGTGATTTGGAAATTTTGTCTTACTTTTTGAGTTGAAGTATTTACTGTTGAGGGATTTCTAGTCATGGATTAGTGTTATTTTTTACTCTATTATAAGTATTATTATCTAGTTATATCACAAATTTAAGAATAATAAAAATAATGAAAAAATAGTGAGAATCATAATTGTTAGATTGCAGGTGAAAATATAGGTGATTTTCACGAGAATGAGGTAACTTGAGATGCATTACGATTTTTTGGTTGTTTAATTATGTAAAAATTGAATGTAGTTTTTTATGATCTTGATGTATTTTGAAAATTATAAAGGATTGACAATTGAAATTAGAAAGCTTGTTTTTTTAGACTATAATTTAGATGCAAGGATCGATGGATTAAGAGTTGTAGTAAAAGAGATATTACAAGTGAAAATAATTACTTACAATCTATAAAGTTTATGTGATATGTTTTAATGATAGTTATGTTTTTAGTTATATTTTGAGCCATAAGCTAAA